GGAGATGGTAGATGGTGTCCACTTTTCAATATTAGCTATCGGCCCCTTTCCCCATTGCGGATTACGACCGGAGAAATGTAGGCTTCTTGCGGACCGAGCCTTGGCCGTTATGGCGGTGACTGCTCGAACTTTTTCACAAAATCTGATTCGCATTGTAAGATAGCCATGTTGCCGTGCGAATACGATGCGATAACGTGTGACGCGATTCTTGGGGGAGAAGGACCGAGCTGTGAGCGGGGTCGAGAAGCCGCTTTGGCTTCATTCAGCGCGCCGTGAGCGTGCCGGCTCGTATTGGAGGGGCCTCACAGACTCCACGGGACAGATACGAAGGCACATAGCAAGTGATGGAAGGCGAAGGATAACGCAGTGTCTGTTCGAGGTTGAAGATCTGACCTCAGCTCATGTCACGCGGAAGTGGCGCCTTCACTTGGTGGGGCTTCAGCGCCTAGCGCGCCCGCCCCGCGAACCGCCAGTGCACTCTCCACATCCACTACTCTACGACATCGCCGTATTCGCAGCCTTCTTGAACAGAAAGCTGATCATCGCTCTACCTGGCACACTTGCGCTCGCAGTCCCATCACTCCCCACAGCCACCGTCACGGCACTCATATCGTGAGTATTATCGGTGTACCACGCCCTCACATCCGGATACCCAGCCAGCGCAACACCCACACTCTGCGCACTCGCCGCAGAATTAATAACCACAACCGCCACACTCCCATCCCCATTAACAAAAGCACCAGCCTTGACATTCGCCCCACCACTCGCCCCCACCCTCACAGCACCCGGCCTAACGACGCGAAACTGCGCGAAAGCCCAAAGCCGCTTGCTAACCTGGTAGTTCTGGCCATCAACCAAGATAAGCTTCTCGTTGTTATTATTATTCGTAGCGCGGTCCTGGACGCCTTCCCAGAAGATGTACGCGGACAGATTGGAGTTTACGATACCGTTGAAGACGGTGTTGGCCCAGGTGAAGCCATCGCCGGCACCGCCGTTGGAATACCAGGCTGTGCTCCAACCGCCGCTTAGGTCTGAGTACTCGGTTTGCCAGACGCGAGCGGCGGTGCGCATGGTACCGCTGATGCGCGAAGTATACTCATGCGAGGTGATGGCGTAGACGAGGCTTTCGGCGCCGGCAGAGGCGATTTGCTGTGCGTGTTGGGTTGCTACGTTCCAGCCTGTGGCTTCGCAGCAGTTTATGCCGACGGAAGTCAGGTTCGCACGGTCGAGTGTGGGGCGAAGGACTTTGATGAACTCGGCGGCTTGGGTACCAGATGATTGCATTGAGGCGTACGAGGTGGATAAGTCGGGCTCGTTGAGGAAGCCGAGGTGTGTGACTTTGACGCCGGCGGATGCGTAGAAGTTGATGTATGCGACGAGGTAATTCGCGTAGGCTTGTTTCCAATCTCCAGAGCGGCAATTGGTATTAGAGACCTGGGGCAGGTTAGCGGACGCGATGAGGGAACTTCGGGGATGCACGTACACCACAGAGCTGGCCGCCGTTGGTGTCTTGGTTGTTCGTCTTCATGCATCCAGGCGCACTCCATGCATTCGCGTAGAAGGTGTTGACGCCATACTCTTGTGCTCTCTGGCTGAGGAACAACTGCCCACTATCCTTAGCATCCCAGACGTACCCGCTATAGTTAGTAGTGACTTCAGCTGGTGTGCTTGGGCATTTGGGAAGGATCGTGTTCATGAAATCGCTGTTGCTATTGGGTGTCGAGCCAATACCGTTGCGCACAATTGAGAAGCCAGCGCCGGTGGTCGTGTTGAAGAGTAGATCGAGAACCTCGCGCTGTTTGGGCTGCTGCAGATTGACGATGAGGTTTGCGCGCTGAAATGCGCCTGAGAAACCGAAGCCGTCGATCGTCTGGTATCTCTTCGTCAGGTCGATGGTGACTTTCTGCTGCGCTTGGCGACTTTCCAGAGAGACTGCCGAAGTGACATGCGATATGGCCGCAAGGGCCACAAGATGCGACAATACAGAATACATGATGCGTTCAATGATGATGAATTGAGTAAGACTACGAAGAGCATCTTGCTGAAGTATACATTGCGGTTGAGATGTGGGGCTTAAACAGGCTGTTCATCGTATCGTTCAATCTGCATCCGGCGCAAATTTCATCGATATCGTGTGGTGATTTGCGCGTCCTATATTATTCCGTTTCCTCCGATCGATGCTACTATATACACTTCGTATCAGACATGCGGAGGACTAGTACCCCACGATTCCCTTGCGCCGAAGAGATTGAGCACGGATTTAGCCGACATGTCGGGTCCCGTAAGGAGACAAATATCATGAAAGCTGGACGACACCAGCAAGCGCAAGGCATAACGTCAATTGCAGCCAAGAACAACAAAGAAGCGTGGTGGTAGTGCTGCTGCTGTGCGTGGTCAGGCTGTTGCTCACAAACCTTCCACAGAGCGTCCACCTACGTACAACAGTCGCGGCCGCAAGATCGCTCCACCAAAGAGATTTAGGTGGCAGACGTTATCGCATAGGTCTACAGATCACTCTGCCAAGTTTTGGTGTACTCAGCTCTATCCTGCGTAGCTCAAACAACCTTGATTCCGCGGGCTGCAAAAGGTGGCGGGGTGGCCCATCACGATAACAGGCCCATCACAAGGCCACCGTCACGCGCACCGTGGGGGGGTTGATAGGGCTATAATAGACCTGCAAAACCAAATTTCCTGTCGTTTGATCTTGGTTGTGATAGCTCCCTAATGTCGTGTCATGAGTAAAAGCTGTCAGGGGGGTGATATCTGACTGAGGGCTGTCAGGGGCGTGATTGATGTCAAATTTTGGGCCTGTCAAGCGTGGAGGGCTCTTTCCATCTCAAGTTAAGAAGGCAGCAACAGCAGCAACAGCAGCACTAGGGACGCCAACAACGACAGTAGAGACGTCAGGGGTGGCTGCAAATAGGGACACATATATATGCCGCCGCGCTGCACCTCCTGAGTGTACTTGCAGTGAAAAATGTGGAACATTCACCCATCGCGGGCCTGCGCACGTCCAATCCTTAGCATACCTCACCAGAATTCAATGTAAAAGCAGTCAGGAGTGACCCCTATTGCCGTTGCGATAGGTATCCTCATGTGATGGGCGTGTAAGAGATGTCTCCTGAGTTACCCATCTCCTGTTTGACACCTATCGTCTCATGTCATGATTTCAATGGCGACAGGCCGCTGTCAGGCTAACATCAGATGATAGGCCCCTGACAGCACTTCACCGCAATGATATCATATTACAGCCCTGTCGACCCCCCCGTGTTGCGCGCTACGGCATGCACGGTAAGGTCCGTTGAGATGCGGTCTCGCGAACGCACAACTGCGAGTCCAGTCGGCGAATCATAGCATGCAGCCAATGATTTAGTTGTTCCACGTGGATTGCTTTTTGTCGGCTGTACTCGTTCCTGTTCCGCCCTGGATCTAGATCTTGACTTCTATGGGGGCTGAGAGCTAATGCGGCTGATTGTCTTCAGCACGCATCTTGTTCGCAGTAGCGGCGCATCTGTCCTAGGATCTAGAAACAAGTGCATTAGTCTTAGGAGATGATGCTCTCAGGTGTTCTTGAAAACGGTATCCTCGAGCGATACTTCTTCCTCGTATACAATTCATCGTGTGTTTGCTTTACGCCCTGTTCTAGCGTCGTCCCTGCAAAGAACTTCCGTGTCAATTGATCAGTAAGTCGGATGAACTGAAAGTGTTGTCTCGACTGACGATTCGTGCAAAGTGACGCAGTCGCCGCAATATGTAACTTGGGCCTCCGCGTTTTGGGGTATCGCTGCCTTCGCTGTGAACTCCATGGGACAGCCAGCTGGGGCTGTATGTGGTGTGGATGCCGACGTCAATCTTGAGCTACGCAGCTCACCCATCATGTGCGCTATCGATGCTGGCCTAATAATCTGGCGTTTCCTATACTATCTCTTGAGTCCGCCGATTCATCAGACTCAAGACCCCTGGAAGGCTCGCATACGTACTGCGCGAATACGACTACTCAGATTTCGCTTCCAAGACGAGTTCAGCGACCCTTCTCGGAAAGGAGATCTCGCAGATCTTTTGAGGAATCGATATGTTCGTCTTGTGGTCTTTGCTGTGACCCTTTCACAGATAGTCAAACTCTACGGCTATAGCGGGATCCCATGGACGAAAGCGTTTGCAAGTCTATTTCTGGCCTCGTTCCTGACCATCGAACTCCTAGTAACTTGGCACCGGCCGAAGATCGATGATCTGATTAAGTCCAGCGAAAAGGAAGACCCCATAAGCTCGTCAGGGGCAGACAGTCTTTCTTACATCTCTATCGCTGCATCCGTAGCATTCACCCTATACTTCGCCTCTGCCGCTACAAGAGATGCGTTCGGCCGACCTGAAGAAAGCACCTTGCGTTGGAGTGGTCTGGTAGTACCCATATCTGGAGCAGCGTTCTGCGTGCCAGTATATCTCTACAGCGTTCTCAAACGTGATCAGGTTGTCGAGCGAGATCAGTTTCAACAAGTCATTCTGCCAGGCTTCCTGTTGATTTTACTCATTGCTCTGCCGCTCTTCCCGTACTTCATCGCTCCGGTCATCGAGCGTGGGAGTCTTGAGATTGTGTGGCACGACGTCTTCACTTCCCTGATGGTCGTTGCCTGGACTGGGATCTGCCTGAAATTTACATCGTCGGCTACCAAAGTTGTTCGAGCACTTGATAACGAACAGGACAGAAAGCGCATGGAAAAGGGAGCCGGCGTGTTTTTTCTTGTCTTGAATGCTGTGACAGCATTTTTGTACTATAGATTCAGCTACGACCCGCGAGGCACTCAGAAAGCGTCTTGGACCGATAACTTGGGCTGATACTGTCCAATGTATGCTTGATTATAGATAAATGATGTACCCTATCAAACAATTGATACGAATCAGGCGCTTGAAAGTCTTCAATCGAGGATGCAAAGCAGTCTTCACACGGCTGAAACCCCTAGATCCTCACGACTATAATCTACGTTGGAGAATCCCAAACGTCATCAACCCAACCATCCGCCCACTCCAGGCGCTTGAGAATAATACCGCGACCTGCGCACAAACATAGCCGGCCGCTTCGGCCGATCTTGAACAGCTGGTGGTACATCCAAAGCAACCCGCTTCGAAGCCGGTTCCTTGCGTTTGTCTTCCGCTACCACGTCCTCTGTCTTTACGTCCTCCATCTTCCCCTTCCCCAGATTACCATTCACCTTCTCCGCCGTAGTCCAAGAAGCATTCATACAAGTGCACAACGCGTAAACCTTAACAAACGCATGCAAATGACCAAACAAAAGATACGCGGGGAAATACACAACATCGCGAGGATGTTTGCGAAAGTGTTCCAGAATCTTGACAAACTTGAACGACAAGATCCAGATGGTGAGCGCAGATGCGCTGATGGGGAAGTAATCAGCCTTTCCGTACTGCTTCAGCGTCCCACGAAGCGTCATATACATGCACGATTCCTGTGTGAGCGATTGACGGAAGAACCACATGAGCAGACTCCAGCTCATGAAGGGATGACGCACCCACGTCAGCCTACCCATCAACTGCGCCGGGTTATTCCGCCAAGTCGTTCGAGTCCAGCGAAGTACCTGACTCATGAACTTGGGCCACTCGCCCAGTTCTGTCGTCATGACGCTATCGGCACCAGCCTGCAGACCCATTTTCCAGTCATGTTCAATCAGCCAGCGGGTGTGGAATTTGTCGTCATCGGAGTTTAGGGGCTCGGTCTTGAAAGGCATGTAGGAGTTTAGGTATCCGTTGAGAAACTCGGGCGATGCGTAGATAGTCGTGCGGAAGACGCCGAAACGGCCTGGTAACGTTGAGAGGCCGCGGTCGATGCCGTAGGTGCCTCGGTACTCGTAGGAACGGCGCATCAGGTAGGTCATGCCCATGAAGTTCCAGAATCCGGGCCAGGAGAAGGGGTGTCCGCGGTGCCGAGCTTGCAGGTCGGCGCTCACAGCGCCAACTTTGGTGTCTTCGAAAGGTGCGATCACGGAAGCGATGAAGCGCGCGGATTGGGGCCAGTATGTGTGATCGTCTTGGAGAATGACGAGCCGCGTTTCGACTTGCTTGAGGGCTTGGGCTGTTTGTTCCCGGCGTGAGGCCTTGACGCGATGGGCCACCACGACCTTGCTCTCTGGGAACGAAGCTCGGAAAGAGCGAAACTGTTCTGCGGCTTGTGTGCCGGCGGTTGCGATGATGAGCTTGGGTACGTTTTGGTTGAGTATGGAGCGGACAACGTGATGCAGTGTTTCGGACATGAGGTCTGTGGTGGGTATTATGACTGTGACATCGTTGATGTGGTACGTGGGGTTGAGCGGTATAGGTGTAGGCCGGTATCTATAGGTGCCGTATAGACTAATAAGAACGCGGGTGTAGCGAAGAAGAAAGACGAAGAGAAAGCATATTGGGTAGATGTTGCGATATAAAGACTGGTAGATGGGCCACTCTGTGAGGCGGGTCGACACGTACAGCAGAGGCATCCTTAGGCTGTGGCTCGTCTCTGGTAGTAATGCGATCAAAGCATGTGTCCCAGGAAAAAGTTCGGTGAGAGTCATCGCAAGCTGATGCTAGATTTGCTAAGGCTCCAGGCTATGGAGGTGCTATCAAGAACAACCGAAGGATGATGCAGTAACAAAGCGCTGTTGTAGAGTGCGTTGCTCATATCGAGACAGCGCAGGAAGCCCTTTATATCGCAAAGAATCATGGAAGAGACAGCGAAGTAGGCTGTGAGTATATGGGTAGTTACAGTGGTGTATTTGTGTCTGCTAATCAGCGCATATAGAATAGAGAGAAGGATGGCGATAATAGAGCGATCGCATTTGGTATCGTTGTTGTGAAGCAAGAAAACACGTGAGAGCCCCCTACTCACACAGCGACCCATTCGTACGGCGGCAGCTTCGAATCATCCGGCTTGTCCTCCGGCAACAACTTATACGCTTTCGTCTTGCAAAACGTCCATGCGAGCGCGTCGCGTAGCCTGATTGCCCAGGCAGTCTGAGGGAAAGCGAACTGAGGGAAGCCAGGCGGCAAGTCCGCACCTTGACCTTGGACCTTACGGTACGTCTCTTCGTAGCGCTTGAGCGCCGCTGGGATATCGTCGGTGGACTTTATCTTGCCGAGTTCGCCTGCGAGGAAGTATGCGCCCTCGACAGCGAGGGTAGTGCCAACACCGAATGTGGCGTGGGCTGCATCGCCAAGAAGAACAGCACGATTGTTTGTCCATGTAGGAAGCTTGACGTATGCTGAGCGGCTCATATAGAAGTCGTCGCATGCGTCCATGCCGGCGAGGATGCGCTCAGCCTGCCACCCCGCATCGTCGAGATACGTATGAAGGATTTCTTTCTGCTTCTCGGGACCGCCTTCCATCGCTGCTTCGACGAGGGGATCGTAGTGTCCATGTGCTGGCGTTGTGATGATGACGTAACACCCAATCGTCTTGCCGTTGCGATGCGGTCGCGTCATCAAGCCTCGGCCTTTTGGTGCGTTGTACCAATACCAGTGCTTCGTGTCGGATTCCTGGCGGGGAATGCTGAAGTACGCGACGTATTGCCCGATGAAGTTGTAACTTCCCTTGAGCGTCTCTTCATCCAGGATAAGGGAGCGTGTTCGTGACGCTGAGCCGTCTGCGCCAACAATGAGGTCGAACTTGTCTGTTGCTCCACTGTCGAAGGTCACGTCCACCGACTGGTCTGTTTGTTGTACCGCTGTGACATAGTCGCCGTACACGTATTTCACATTCTTCATACTCTTTGACGCATCCAGGAATAGGCCACATAGATCGGATCGCAGGATCTCATACTCGGATGTGAAGCCGCCTTTTCCGAACTCGGCGATAATCTTGCTTTGTGCGTTGATCAGGCGTGTGCCCTCCTCCGTGGTGTTGCGTGCAAGAACGCTTGGCAAGAGGCCCATCTTCTCGACAATGGAGATGGCTGGACCACGGATCTCGATGGACTGGCCGGTGGGCCGAGGGAATGGCGAGCGTTCTAGAACGGTGATGGAGGCATTCAGACCTGTTCTGGCGAGCCAATAGGCGAAATTTGATCCTGCAATGCCAGCACCGTTGACAAGAACTTTGAGTTGGGGAGCTGTTGCGAGAGACATGGTTCTGATGAGTCGTTTGGCGATGATGTGTTGAGACATATCGATGGACGCGACACACGTTACTTATATACCTTGAAGTTGTGATGCTCTTGCATCCAAGGCGTCCAAAGCTCAGCCTTCGTGCGCTGAGGCACGCCTGACCCGAGATCAATCTGGCCCGAGATGCGTCAAACCCGAGCTCTTTGGCACAGACATCGCTACGAGGCGCACCTAGTCGACGAGCTTATCGCAAATAAGCACTGGCTAATGCGCCGCACCGACATGGGATGAATTAAGGTACATTATCGTGCTCCAATAGTGTCGATGGAGGAGTGCTGCCTGGCGTGAGACGGGCGGGCTGTTGGGTTGGTGCGTTTCGCCGGGGCCAACTCTCCCTCCCCCGCCATGTCCACTCTGAGAGGCACGGGAGTTCGTAACTTCCGAGCTGTGAGTGCGAGCGCGTCGTATCCACCGTTTCTGTAGTGGCATGACGTAACGACGCCATAACGGCCGTAGCAATAGCCACTTTCTATCAAGCTCACGCCTCTTCCCCACGCCCACGGGTTTCAAGATTCTGTCCAAGCCTGCGAACGCTAGACCACCTAGAAACACACCACACGATGGCGCGCATTCTTATCACAGGCTCTTCCGACGGTCTCGGATCAGCCGTCGCCAAACGTCTCGTCGCAAATGGACATTCTGTTGGTATGTATCTAAGATGCCCGTCTTAAACATCACCCAGGCGCTGATGCGATGCAGTTCTTCATGCGCGCAACGCTCAACGTGCAAAGGACGCCACGACAGCTTGTCCCGGGGCTGACACAGTCGTGACGGGCGACTTGTCCAACCTTGCAGAGACTAAGAACATGGCAAACGAAGTCAATAAACTCGGAGCCTTTGACTGCGTAATCCACAACGCCGGCCTATACCAAGGCCCATTCCGCAAGACGCACGAAGGGATTCCCGCCTTAGCAGCCGTCAACACCGTCGCGCCATATGTACTCACCGCACTAATCACGCGTCCCAAGCGCCTGATATTCCTCTCTTCGGAGATGCATCAATCGGGTTCACCTAGTTTAGACGATGTTCTCTGGCAGAAGCGTGGCGAAAGCGGATACAGCGCGAATGCGGCTTACTGCGCGAGCAAACTGCACAATGTCTTGCTTGCCAAAACTTTCGCCCGCAGATGGCCTGACGTGAAAAGCAATGCATTGGATCCTGGCTGGGTGGCTACCAAGATGGGTGGCAGTTCGGCGCCAGGCAGCGTTGATGCGGCGGTGGAAAGCTACGTTATGCTTGCTGAGGGGGAGGAAGAGAAGGCCAAAATGAGCGGGTGCTATTTCCACCCGGGCAAGCGACAAGGCACACCTCACAAAGCAACAGAGGATGAGAAAGCACAGGACAAGCTGCTGGAGATTTGCGCTGAGTTCTCTGGTGTCCAGCTTCCATAACGCTTATTACATTCCAGCAATGAACAAGCTTCTTTGATTTACACACCCGCGCTTGCGAGACATACTTGAAGAGACAGATATCATGACTACCACGAGATCCACTATCCTCCCATCCTCCCATCCTCCCATCCTCCCATCCTCCTCCTCTCCTCCTCCGCCCCGCCGCCCCCCCCCCCCC